CACATCTAAAAGGACGCAGCTCATATGAAGCAAGTTGCACAAGCTGTCTAAGACAAAGCATAGCCTTTAATTTTTAGTATTTCAAGCAACCCTGGCCTCGTATATGCTTAATTTTCTTCTGTAAAATTACTTTTAAACTTCTGTTCTGGTAGTCCCAACTTAAAACCAACAGAATTCAGGAAAAAAAAAAAAGGCCCTCCCTCTGGCCCTTCAGGGATTTTACTGAAGTCAAAGAAAGACCAAGAAAACTTTTTCTATGGGAGAAAAATGCTACAGAAAACTTCACACAGGCTACCCTCACATACCTAAAAGCACAACTGTTTTGTGACTGAAACTGTTTCCCCCCGAAGGACAGATCATATCCAGCACACAGGGAGGCATCTCATCCTCCAGCAGGCTGGACACTCATCCTCTCAAATTCTTAATGCTCGAGCTGGCACCAGCTGTAACTCCCAGTGAGCATTGCATAGTGCATTTAACGACCCCCTGAAACACTGCACTCCTAGATCATAGGGACAGAAGTAAACCTTTATTTCTCTTTTTGCTTTTTGCCCTCTCCACTCCCCCATTCCTTCCAAACTTCTAACATCATAAACAGCCTTTTTAAGCTGGACTCTTTCTACAGGCAGATGGGGGTGTTCATGAGGGAGAGGGATGGTGAAGTGATTAAGCAATAACACATTAGTGTAAACAAATGCAGAGTGACAAAATTGGGATTTCTTTCCTGCTCCCGACAAGGAAGTGTTAAGACATGCAAACTGGCTCCTGTTAGCACTTAATATTTTTTCTTTGATGCTATTTTTTAACTTGCTTGAAGCAAAAGTTTCTTACAGCGCTACTTGTTGCCAAGAACTAATATAGTAATCAGCAACGCAAAGAAGTAAAAGAATTCCTTCCTCAAAGTAAAAGGAGGCTGAATTTGTAGGTTAGCATTTATTTTGTTCAAAAACTTTAGGAAATCATTAAAATCTAATTTTTATTTAAAGCATAAACCACAGTCAATGCCTAGACTTGCACTGGTGTCACACAGTTACAAGATGAGCCTAGATATGCAGATAGTCAACAAAAACCACAAACAAATCTGCATTGAGTGTATTCCAAATCAGTGAATGCTCTGATAGGGTTTCTGATTCATTTTTAAAACCTAGAAGTTTTGGTCAGATGCACTGGCCAGCTTCTAAATTCTCTGTGCTACTGTACACCAACTGTACAGGGAGCTGCTCTCCCTCTTTTGTTTGGAGATGCAATTTCGTAGTGGATTTGTTTGAAACTCTCCTATTTGCTCCTTTGTGAAATCCCCCCTCTGCATAGGGAAGGTGAAGTAGAAATTAAATCACACCTACAAAATGAAGGCTTTGTTAAAGAGAGGAGTGTTGCAAGTTGCACAAAGATGGTGAAGATTTGAGGGGCAGCCTTATCAACCCATTTAAATGTGGTGATCATTCATATGTGTATTATGTAACAAGAGGGTCAGCTTTGTCACCAGCACCTTGCCTCAGACTTTCATAAACTTCACTGGAATTGAAAACCCTCCAACACAATGTAGATCAGAAGGACTGGAGGACCTGATTGGATAACTAAAGTAGGGGACAAAGATGATTATCAAAAGGCAGCACATTATATACTTACATCCCTTTTAGATGAGCTGCGTCATGATCACAAGTGAAAATTAAAGTATCATCAGGCAGGAAATACAGAGCCTGCTGATCTTCTGCTATTAACAACCAACCTCTTGCCTAAAACAAAGCTAAATGTGATGGAGGTAGCTCCTGAATGGTTACCTTGACCTGAATTTTCCGAATGCCATAAATACCATGTAAGTTTCTCATCCCTTTTCTAAAAACTACGATTGCCTTCACTGAATAATGAATTTTGAAGCTATCTAAAGGATATTTAGGAAACACATCTGATATCAGAACAGCTCTTACAGTACAGTTTTGTTCTTTAATATGAGTCCAAAAGCCAGCTGCAGACTTGGCTACTGAATTTTTGAGATGGGGGCACTATTTTCTATTAAAAAGCCTGCACTTATCAAGCATTTTCAGAGAGCTTATATTCAGGATTGATTTCTGTCTCTAATATTTCTTGTGTCTTTTGGCATGAATAAGAGAAGCTTAATACATTTGCAATATCAATGTATTAATATACAAAAATCATGCCTAGATTAGCTATATTAACAATTAATATATCCCCATTTATCTATGTGACCATTACTATTAAAAGGTCATTTTATAAGTGATCTAATGTGTAACCAGGAAAATCAGAACCAATGCAAAGACAAAAGCCGCAAGATACTTAATTGATGGATTGTGTGCACCCATCCTTTGCATTCTGTCTTGTCCTTGCTTCCCAGACAGTGTAACTTTCAGGTTTGTGCTTGTATCTGATCACCAAATCAATTCCTTCATCTCCAAACGAATGGTAAACAGTAAGCACAAATATCATCACTGAGGAGAGTCTTTTGGTGATGCAAGATACAATTTTGATATCAAGCACAAACACCCAGTACAGAATACAACACCGTGTGACCAAAATTCTGCACTCAGAATAGTTCTTTGCCCCAAAGAAATGCCTATTTCCCTATTTCACAGAATCACAGAATATTCCCAGTCGGATCATTGAGTCCAACTCCTGCCCAGCATCACCCCCAAGAGTCACATCAGGCCCCTGAGAGCATTGTCCAAATGCTCTTGAACTCTGTCAGGCTTGGTGCTGTATATTTGTAGTTTTTAGGGATATGGGAGACAGCAGTTGCACAGGCTAGAGAACACTAAGCAGTTCAGCTGAATAAGAATGATTTTCTTCACAAACATACATTCCTTCACTTCAAATCTGCATGTCTGTTTTTCCTCTCTTCTGTAACCATTCAAAACAACCCTGCAGTCCACATATGAAGGAAACCCTGTTAAACTGGAACCTTTATGGTCAAGTTCTCTGATATGATTTCTCTCTAGAGTCCATAAGCTTTGAAGTATTATGAACAATTCAAAGTTCAGTGAGACAGGAAATCAGCACCTCTGTGTTTCAACTTCATGCTTCTGCTTACCCTCTACTATTCCTGGTGGGAAAAAAATCTTTTGGCTTGGAAATAATAATAAGCAGCTTCTGCTTATGGTCTAGCATTAGGAAGAAAAACAACCTCACAGAGACGCTATCAATTCTTCAGTAGGCAGGGTAATTATTACCAACAATTCATACCACAGCTAGCACAGCAAAACTCCCACTCTAACTGTATTTAACTTTGTTTATTGAGGACAACAGACATCTTTTTTCATATCAAAGCCTGAAGAGGGAATTAGAACAAATTCTGGCACACAATCACATTCTTTTAAAATACGCTATTATACATCATGAGATCCCTGAAACCAGAGAAGTTTCCATAAAATTCAGACCACATTATTTCAAAAGGTTTGGAGGGGAGGGATAAAAACAATAGTAAAAAAATGACAGTACAATTACAGTCAATGGCAAATCGAAAAAGGAAGCAGGAATACCCCTGTGATGACACTGCATTTCCTGAAATGCAAATCAAGACACCGTGTTGTGTGAAATGCTGTCTGCTCAAATGTTGAATAAAACCAGAAATCCTTATTGCTTATTTATTTAGCTGGATTGTTGCTATATACAGAGTATGAAAAATATGTTTATTGGGTTACAACCAGAAAAATACATGGGGGGAAATTGAGTATGGAGTTATGGATGTCTGACAATGCTATTCACTTTGACATAACATGGATACTAAACAGGAATGAAGTTCCACTCACAGTCAACTCAAAGGAGTTACCTGCACAAGGCCAAAGAAACAACATTAACTGAATAATCACAGAATCATAGAATGGGACAGGCTGGAAGGGACCACAGAGGGTCACCTGGTCCCACCTCCCTGTTCAGCCATGGTTATCCCAGAGCACCTGGCACAGGATTGAGGCCAGGTGGTTCTTGAACATTTCCAGCAAGGGAGACTCCACAACCTCTCAGGACAATCTCTTCCAGGGCTCAGTCACCTGTACAGTGAAGAAGTTCTCCCTCATATCCAAGTGGAACTTCCTGTGCATCAGTTTCTATCCACTGCCTCTTATCCTATTGCTTGATACCACTGAGAAGAACCTCTTGACACCCTCTTGATTTTAGAAATAAACAAATACATATATTACTGAAACTGAATCCCAAAGTGAAACACACCAATTTTTAAGAAATAACTTTGAAGGTGTTTAATTAGACTTCTGGTCAGAAAAGAAATATTGAGTTCTCATATGTATTATTCATTATAGAAGTACATCATGATAGAGTCTTAAAAGAAGTTGCTTAACTGAAAGTATAAATTTGCTTAACTAAAAGTATCAAATGTAAAAGCAATTTTATTCCTTTGTAAAAAAAGTGTGACATTTTACAAGAAGGTCACATTGTTTCACTGGCAGATAATGCTTACATCAGTGATGTCAGGTTTCAAACTTCTCAGGGTTTCAGTAATGATGTAACCCTTAAGATACAGATATAATCCACAATCAAGACATAAACCACAATACAGCATAGACATGACACATTATTCATGGTCAGGAAAGTATTGTAATATAAACAACTATTACAAAAATATGCAAAAATTATAGTTTAAGTCTTAAATTTACACTCAGGAATATATCACAATGTTATAAAAAACAATTTAGACTTTCCTTTGCCAAATTGACAAAACAACATATCTATACTGGGATGCTACTGTCCCTCATGTACCTGTAATTTAAGTTTTTGTGATTCTGGTCTCGTGAGAAGCTTAGACCTAACATGATAAGTAATTAACAAGCTGAACAGCCTTGTGTGATTTCCTCCACAGTCACACCGTTCAGTTACTCTAAAAAATTCTTAAAAACAGGCTCTCATAAACAAAAATCATCCCAGTGGCAACTCTTCCACCATCTCAGTTTGCCACTTGTAGAAATTAATTATTTACTGAGGAGGAAGGGGATATCTCCTCCGGTGTGGATGTCCTGATTCTCTACCTGGAGAGAGTAAGAGAGGAATTAAATACATTCAAGGAATATTAAAGCAGGAAAACAAGGGCTTATTAAGATAGCCTGCAAGAAAAGTTACATTTATACATATCTTAAAAAAAAAAGTGTCCCCGTCCAGTAGTTGTGTAACAATGGCTAGTATTCTGAGATCCTGGAGGATAAAGTACATGGTGGCTCTTCTTAAAACCCTTGGGTGACTGTAACTTTCAAACCCAGTCATATTAATGGGTTGGGATAGTGAATCTCATCTGTGGCTGGTAGATCTAACCGTATGAATGCAGGTAAGGATAATATACTGTTTAGAACCAGACATAAACTATATTTACAAATATTTTCATTCTGGTTTAAGTGTGTCTATGCACAACACTGCTTTAGTTAGAGAGTCCTATTAGCAAAGGAGCACTCACAATGTAAGTGAAATCTTTTCTCAGCACTGAAGTTCTACCAGGTCCCCATCAGCATTACATTTCTACCAAAATCCTATTAATCAGAAATACGCTTGAAAGCAACACCAGTGTGGAAGACCTGACTAAGTATCTTGCAAATGAGAGGCTGCTTGTATTGTCAGCAGTTATGTGTTTTACAGTGCACTAAGACTGAAGTGAATATACCCTTTTGATGCAATTACATTCTGTGAAGAAACAGATAATTAACAGTGTTTTCCATAGTTCTTCATGCTCAGTTTATTTTTCGGTTCTTATAGAATGTGCTTACATTGTGATGTAAAACAATGTATTAGTGGTCTTAACTTCTAATTAATGAAGTTTGTCTATCAATAGGGTATATGGGCTATGGTGTGGTGTTGCAGCCACAAACCTAAAATCCATAAATTATCAAATAAGAAATATTAAGGGGAAATCTATCTTCCTGAGGCTTAGATGTCCTGCTCTGAGTAACACGGATATACTTTTATCCATTTGTAACACACAGCCAAGAAATTCATGGAGAGAAGTTAATGAATAAAACCAAACAAAAAGCCCCCCAACCCTCCCAAAACACAAAAAAAGCCACAGCTGAATTCCCTGTTCTCAAAATACAGCTAGAGGATGAGCTTCTTATTACAGCATCTGGGTGGTTATTATTATTGACCATATAATGAAGGATGTCTGAGTCCCGTTCTTGTTCTGCCTGAGGGGATTCAAGCCATCCTCTCAGAGAAATACCACTGCTTCTTGGGGTGATGCTTTCTTGGTGGAGGCACTCTTTCCTCCACTGGTGAAGCTGAGACATTGTCACAGAATTCTTAAACATTAACTGATAAGAGAGAGCAAAGGCTGCCTAATCATTATGTACACTCCTGACACAGAAGATATGGGTCCCATGGTTACTGTTCCATTATTTTTCACTGCACTTAATGCAATGATTTATATATTATAAGCAATAGCAGGAGTCATAACAGTGTACCATGAAAAGGTACACAGAGGATGGGATAGACAGATATCAGTAATATTACTAAGGAGTTTTATTACATAAGCTACCACAAACATAAAAAAGCTACTTTTTTGTTCCTTTTTTTTCTCTCTCTTTGGTGAGACACACATACAGCAGAGACAACAGATACACAGAGAAGTAACCCAAATACCTGTGCTAATATTAGCAAACTTAGGAATAGGATTTTGTCAAAATGAGTCATGTTGGCAGATCACTTTAAAAGGAGCTCTAAAACACTGCAGGGCCCTTTCATAAGGACAGATTTATTTTTCCAGTAAACCTGTTTTACTTATAACACAGGTGATATAACTGCAGTTGTGGGATCACGTTTTAAGAGTATCCTGAGGGGAAGAAATAGGGCTAGTGTAGAAGAAGCCAAGATGTTTAAATAATGCTACTGAAAGACATTTATAACACAGCAGCACAGTTACTGTGGAACATACGTTGTGGAATACACCTAGCCATAAGACCTCTGGAGCCTGTCAGAGATTATGTGATCCCTGAATATCAGGTCATTTCTTCAGATGGTCAAGAACTGGTAACAGTGACCAGTTTGGGTCCTGCCTATGGTCAGCATACATACTCTATAATTTAGTTTTATATTTTACATAGAGGGTCAAAGAATTTTACTTGTAAATCAAATGATATTATCTTACTCTGAAGCATTCAACAGTGGTAGCTGAAACACATTAAAGACTTCACTGTATCTATTTATTATTTATATTTCCTAATCACATCAGTGATCTTATTTGAAAACCTCACCTGGAAACATGAAAGAAATTCAGGCTCTGTAGACTTAATAAAATAATTGATGTTTCTTAGGTACCTCTCTTCCTTTTGCTTATTTTCTTTAATCTACGTGCATGAGCTTCAACTCACAGTAACGAGGAAGTAGAACTGAATTAAGTCAGCTCAACAGTGTTATCCACAGCGGCTTTCACTGAAATGTCTGTTCTGTTCAAGAAGTGAGACTGGTGAATGACTTAAGATTAATGCCAAGGCAAGACAGAACTTGCATTGGTATCACTTAGGCAGTGACCTGGAAGCAGAGACCCTGATCTAGAAAACCACTTAAGAATGTGCTTGACTTTATTCATATGCTTGAGTGTTTTGTTGAAGTATGAACGAAGATCTGCAGCTAAAGACTTCAGACACATTTCTGTGCAGCTGTGCCAATTTGTTTTAGAACTATTACAATTTTAAACACAGCTCAGCTGAGACCAAGCATGAAAATTACAAATACCACATGAAAGCTTATTTCCCAGAACACTTTGAGTAGAAGATGACTGCAGATTACAGTGCTACACTCCACCTCACCCTGCAGAGTTAGTTTTTGCAAATGGCAATACACAACTGTGTAACTGATGCAAATTTTGTTGCTGACTGCTGTAGAGTAACTGCACACATAAACATGAACTGCAGGTAGACACAGAGCTGTTATACTGATGATAGGAGCAATTCCAAACCCACAAACGTGTACCCATTTTTTACCTTGGGATTGCAGATGTCTCTGTGTGAACCCCCTCATCTGGTTATGATATGGAGAAACAAAATGACTTCTGTGTGGCTGTTGGAGCCTGGGATTAAAATCTCTTTGTTCTCTTCCTGGAAAACAGTATTTACTAAGCAATTCTGACAGTATGTAAGATTAAATGAAGAAAAAGAGAGACAGTGTATTCTTTTTCAGGAAAGAATATTTCTTAGTTTTGTGCCAAAATACTCATGCACAATTACGGTCTTTCCAAACTAAAGTCAGCCTAACAAGTATGGTTCTTGTCCTCATTTCCATCTATGCACATCATGATTACAAGCTGTTAACAAGCGTATTTAGAAACCAGATCAAAATTTTACGACACAGATTTGGAGACTGCAGTCATTAAAACAAACAGAAATCTCTCTCCAAATTGGAATCACAAATCATGATTAAAATAGTTAAATATAGCTCTCAAGGAAAAGCAGATGCTACCAAGGTCTGGTATTATAAATCACCAACAGATATCCTCAATTTTGAGTGTCCAGCATGAGCTTGTTGTAGAGCCAAATCAGAAGTCTTGATGCCACATAATGCAAAGTACTGGACTAGCAGAAAACCATTCTGTCTTGTCATCTGCTCAAGAAATTCTGAAGGGGTAATTTTTATCCTCACAGACATTATAACTGATTGGGTATTAAGCAAGTAGTAGATATAATATGAGCATAAACACTGAGATTCGGTGTAAATTACTTCAAAGTCTCAAAGCCTCAACATTCAGGCTGATCTGTGACTGATGTTAAAAACCTTTTAGATGTTTCTTTTTTTCCCAAAAGTTAGGCAGATCAGGTAGGGAAAACAAATTTGCAAACTGAGTTCTTTAGCAAACTGATCCATAAATTTGGAGAAAAGAGCAAGATCTTAAACAAAAAACCACAGTTCTTCAAATTGCCCAAAAGCTCTCTTCTATATTGAAATATGTCAGCAAATCCAATAAGTACTTCACCTTCAATGCCTCACTCAGACCTTCAACTATCAATGCTAAATAGCTCCCCCATGGGAATGAAAGAAAAAGCTGTCATTAAATTTCTCCTATAAAAATATATTTAGGCACCGAATAAATAGTGATGTTTCTCTCAGTGAATGACACCTATTGCATATATCTCACTGACTATGTGCCTAGATAGAAGATACATATTCTATGTAAACTTGGGTGATCACATTCACATAAATTGCTAAAAAGGGAAGTATTTTCTTAGATCAATTCATTGCTTCTCGGAGAAAGAGAATTTATTTAGCTTGATGGACTGCCTATGTAATTGCTGCTGCTGTTGAAGGATAATTTAGCTCATCAATATATTAATTTTATTGAGAAAATTCACACAATGCCAACCTGTGTTAAATCCATTCCCTCTTGGTCTGCTCTGTATCGTTCTGTTCTTTGTCTTGCAAACCTTGCAAATGAGAGATTTCAGATTCTGGAAGGGTGTGTACAAAGACTCCTGCAGAAAACACAGTTAAAAATCAATGACTTCTGCTCCTCTTTCTTCAGGTGCAGCACAAATTAAACACATAACAACAATAAGACTTGACTGAGGCACACTTGTGCATGCATGAAGGTGGTAGATTTGGTTCACACTTTTACAGGAAACGAAGTTTGAGCACTTAGTAATAAATGTGGATACTTGGAGGGATGAGTAGGGGTGCAGAAGAAATTATTTCCTCTTTCTCAGTGAAGTATTTTTTCCCTTCTCTGCTCACATCTGTAACTCCCTTGCTGTCCTATTCTATGACCCTGCACCTGTAGATATACTTAACTAGACTTCATCAGCAGTACCTCAGGCAGAAATGGTTAAAGAGTCCAGAAAAGGACTGATGAACTCATGGAAAATACACCAGTTAAAATCAGTCTCTTAATCTCATACATTAGAAACAAAACTTAACCCAACATCTGCCCCAAGTCCTGACTAATAAAACATAACTAAGTCTAAAAAGAAATGAGGGAATTAAATTCAAGTGTTGACCTTGTGATCTGATGAAAAATTCTAGTGTCAAAAGGATAAGTTGAAGCTAGTTAAGGATGCAAAATTAGAGATGTGATACATCCTTAACTTTCTCTGATGTCTGTGAGCTTTGAAAAAGTGGCTGATCTTAGAATGTACTTCTTTTTTTCCTGATTGGTACTGGGCATGTGGGATTTACTACACAATGAAGAGAATTAGGAAAAGAGAGATTTTAGAACAATAACATAATTTGTGATTTCCATAAAATTGAACTGATTTTACAGGATGACATTTCCTTTTTTAGGAGCAGGAAGGAGAGAAGAAGATGAAAGGATAAGCTAAAAAATCTAATAGGTAGCAAGACTGCAGTAACTAGAGAGGTTTCTTAAATTAGAGGTAGTCTGACTCCCTGAACGCTGCTGAGAACTTGCATAATACATTTTTTGAGTTAACAAAACTCTTTAGTTTTTAGTTTAGTTTTTACAGAGCCTTAACTAAAACCCACAGATTCTTTTAAATTTTGTTTTACCACACAAACTGGGTCCAGCCTGTGAAGAACACCCGCTACTGAGAAATACCTTCCATTTTATTCTTGGGAAAATGTATGGAGGTTGGATGGAAAGCAAGATCAGAAAAAAACAAAACATATCATTTATGTCGACCCCATCATGTAATTTGGTTTTAATTAAAAAAAACCAAAACTGATCATGAACATACTCATTAGTGAGAAGCACAGTAAAAAGGCTAATAAAGTGATAATATCATTGCCTCACTTCTTTATGAGACTATTATAGGCAATTTTCTGTGTGGACAAACAAACTAATATGATTACAGTTTTGAAAAACAGAACTAGCATAATATGAGCTTAGCATAATTTTTTTTAAAAAACAAGATGGGTCTATTTTTATTCTTATCAGAAGCTGTCAATTTTTTTATCTTTAACAGCTGTTAGGCTACAAAGAGCTGAGCTACACAAAAACTTGCCCATAAAATATCAACTGTATTTACTGTACACATATTCTCCTTTTGGTATAAGAACCTGTAGGAAGCAAATATTAAAATGTTCAAAATTTTTGATATACATGTAAATTTTTAACCAGGTTTGTATTTCCACTGTAACTGTCAGAAACCTATTAACTGTATTTTAGCCCATCGTATTCAAAACAACACTGATTCTGAGATTGCCTCAAGTCCCTGAAGTAATGCAACTGTCCAGAAAATAGAGAAGGGACCCTAGGAGTTAGGAGACAAGCACTGAACAACCAAAGGAATAACTTCTCCCTATTATTTTTCTTTTCCATAATAAAACATCCCATGTAGAATAACTTTGTTTTTTTTTTTCTGAATACAATACTGTCACTATCACCAGATTAGATTTATGGTGTTCAAGGTTAGATTGTTAACAAACAAGTGCTGAAAGATCTTGCCTTCCAGCAGTGCATTAAGCTCTGCCAGGAACGAAGTACCATTTTTATTTATTAAAGCTGAACTTATAATAATAGGAGAAACAAATCACATATACTTGTTGCCTTGCCAGTGTTCCCAGCTAAATTGGCATGTCTTGGCAATTCTCCCCCAAACAGATTCTTGCCTCAAACTGATAAGCTGAAAAGCTATTTTATAAGTCTGGGTACATATCTCTGCCATATATGTACCATAAAATTGTACCTAAAAAAGAAAAAGATATTTAAAGTACTCTAAAAGTTCACATAGCTGGAGTATTTTTCCTCACAATGGAATAGTTTATCTGGGGTTTGTTTAAAACAGAGCATCAGGCTTTTAAAAAAACCTTAACCTAGATATTTCAGTTGACCAACCATATTTCTAACTCTGTTCTAGGAAAGTAAGATTTTTCTTCATCTTCGTTATAAAACAGAGTAAATTAGAACTCCAATGCTAACACAAGATTTTAAAATGTTAGCTAAAACATACTACATAACACATTTAAAAACACCTGTATCAATTAATATAAAAGTTTTACAGATTTAAATATGTATTATCAAAGTTATCCACTAAACTGAATTCTACCCAAATGGAAAATAAGTATCAATTTCAGACAGATCTGGATACTTTTATATTTTCCCATTTATTCTTTAAACCCTCTATTGTTTTGCAAAAGTCCTGCATGAAATTCCTGGATGAACCATTTGCCCAATCCAAAATCTACTGAAATCAACAGACCAATTAATAGGAACCACAGGATTTGGATAGAGGTTATGGTCCTAATCATATGATTGAACACATGTGGAAAGGATTATTCTCCTCCTTCATGATAAAAACATGTTCATTCCACCCACCCACAAGAGCTGCACTCCTCACTCTAGACCAGCATGGTATGCAGCTGGACACAAAATCACAAAAGAAAACCAGTCATGCAAAAAAAAAACTGGCATTGAATGCATGAGATCAAAATAAATCAAAACTGAAACCTTTTTTCTCTGTAATTACTTTAACCTGAAGTGATACATTCAGTAGCACATAAAAGCATTTCAAAGGTAAGTTTTCAAAAGTAATTAAATGGTACAGGCTTTTCAGACACATTATTTGAAAAAGGCACATTAATTGAAGATCTTTAGAGCTACCTTCCCAGATGGGTACAGGTCTGGCCAAGCATCTCTCCACATATCCTGTGCTGGTGGGGCACAAGCCAGGTCTGGTTTGAGGCTTCACCAAGTGCATCAGTACAGTCCTGCACTGAGCCTAGCAGACCCTGCCTTTGAGCCTGGATATGATGCCCTTTTGCAATGCACAGTGCTCAGCAGGACCCTGGTACCTCCCTGCCCAGACATGCTTGGAATCATACTGGTCTTTTGGTACACAGCATGCAAATCTTATAAATCCCCAGATTTGTAAGATCAAGTGGGACTGGGAACTAAATAAGTACTTAGAGCTATAGGAAAGTACTTGGTGAAATTCTAAAATAAATACCCATACTTATCTATTCTAAAAGAATGCACCTTCTTCTGATTTCCAGTTCCTCTTTGAATTCGCCAAACCTTCATCTCAAAATTTAGATTCCTTAATACCTTTAAAAATATCCATCTTAAACATTTGATTTTTTTAAAGGTGTTCTTAATATGTTGCTTAAAATGTTATGGGAGAAAGATCTCAATAATATCTCAGTACTAGAAAACTATTGTGGGCATTTTCATTCTTGAAATTGACAACTATTTTCCTTGTATTATTTTCTGAGTAGTGGGTACAAAAATAGAGGTAAAGTTACAGCTTCCTTCATAAGCTCAGTATTTATACTTTTTTTTAAAAATATTTTTTTTGTGGAGAGAATGAGAAAGAAATAAGAGAGAAGAAAACTACAAAGAAAGCGTAACAGTGTAAACATGAATATTAAAGCAAACAAAATGGACAGGTACATTTTTACAAAGAACGCAGAACTAAAAAGAAGTGATTACTCACGTTGCCTTCCAAAAGTTCTTCCACAGAGCAACTTCGGTGTGACTGCTGGTATTTTTCTTGAAAAAGTTTTCCATCAAACACTGCCCAAGGCATCAGATCATCCATCCTGAACGGAAAGCCGCAGGCACTGTTAGCCAGGAGCAAAGTCGTAAGGCCACGGATAAGGACAGCGCCCAGATGTACAGCCCTGGAGTCTACTTGTGCAAGCTGTGAACACACACACAAAAGCAGATCTCACAAATCAGGAAATATGTGCCATCTTAACATCACATATAGACATGCAAACAGCAGAGAAAATTATCAACTGTCCCGATGTTTTAACAATGATGGCCCTCTGCTCCACAGCAGAATTTGTCTCGGGGCTCTGCATCTAGTTTTATTCAATAAAGTGAAAGAAGTTAAGTTTAATAAACACAGCATCCCATTCAAATTTTTAAGACAAATACATCAAAATGTACATGGAGAGACAAAATAAATGGTTTTGTAGTATTTTTCAAGCATTAGCAGTTCTGCAGGAAAGAAAGTTCTGTCAGTGGAATGCAAAACATGAACTGGGAGTACAAATTGATGTGTACAGCAATCCACTGACCTTCCAGAGTTTGCTTACCCCGGAAATGTTACAGAGTTTAGAGATCATTTAAATTGCAGGATTTGACAGAATCAAGTTTATTGTATGCAAGCTTTTATTTTAAACACTCTAGAATTTCCTTTGACTGTAATCTGAAAGTCAAATTATTTCACTTCAACTTGGATGTATCCAGAAGAAATACTGAATTGTGTGACAACATTTAGAAAATGCAAAATGAGAAACTCAACAAGACAATTAAAACTCACAGCCAAAATAAACTCCATGGGTACATTTAACATCCTGTTGTGGCAGAGGACAGAAAAATATAAAACCTTGAATCCAGTATGGGGAAAACTCTGATTTTAAGTATCGTTTAAACAGTACAAAGCTCCTCAGTGGGCAATGCCTTTTCAAGTCTGTACCAAAGCAGTCTGTTAGGATCAGGAGAGATTCACAACAGTGTGGCCATCAATACTGTAATCTATGGTAGCTGGTATACCCTTACAGTATAAATTGTATCGGAAATTGAATAATATCCAACACAATGCCAAACAGAATGGGCAAAAAGTGACTCAAATTGTCTTAGCCCTAGCTCCTGGAGGGCTGTGAACTGTTTGTCTGAAATGCGATGGAAAGGGTTGGCCATTATTACTACATCTTACATCTTGAAAGATCTCCAAAAGACTTAAAGGTACAGATACACACCATCAATGCCTTATGCTTTAAAAAATTACAGGTAACAGCAAAATCTGTGAAATGTAGCACTAATAAATCAGAATTTTTCCTTCCTAAGGTCCACATAACAAAATCAGGAAACCTTTGCTACAAAGAGCTACAAAGCTTCTTCCAAAAATGAAAATAATAAATAATTTGGAGAATGCAGCCAGACCCTGGTGAAGGAGTTAGGTTTTCTGCACTTTTATGCAGTGAGCTGAATTCTGTTGCATAATTTGCCCAGATGAAGCTGACTTCTGTGATGGGGTTCCCCCTAACCACAGGCAAGGGGCAGGAGGGTTCTGTTAAGCTGACTTGAAGATATGAGGTGCATCTCCCTGGGCTGCTTTCTCTACAGTGCAGAAGCCAAAGAGGACCTAGCTACGAAGATGCAGGCAGGGAGATGCCAGGCAGGAAGATTCAGAGCCCTCTGGGAAGCACTTCTTCTATCTCTAGTGATTCCTGGAAAGGCATGAAGCTGGCCACCAGGGCACTGACCCAACATGACAGTCAGTAGTTGAAATTCATCCAGTGCAGACAACTGGAGACAGCCACTGACATCCAGAAAAATGCAGACAACACAAGTTAATTTCACAGAACTGTACAATGGTTCAGGTTGAAAGGGACCTTAAAGTTCATCTGGTTTCAAGCCTCCTGCCATGGGCAGGGACACCTCCCACTAGAATTTGAGCAGTAATTTAGAAAATGAAACATCCATATTTTTCTGATTGTGACACTTCATATTTGAGTAAGGAGACTCTCTTCTGCCCTCCCTTTAAAACAAATGTATTTCCAGTAGGGGATCAGGACACTGAGTTTCAGGAAGTTATTGCCTCCAAATGTCAGCTACCATTTTGCCAGCTGAGACTAGTAACTACATGCACACTCATAACTCTTTTGCACTGGCAACTACAGCAGGCATTTACAAACTGTTTAAGAATGCTGAAGGGTGCTTGAAAGAGGAATGTGGTTTAAGAGAAACAGTATTTGTACTAAAGCAAACTGCTAGAGTGCACACAGTCACTTATGTTGCAGCTGAGATTCTTACATTGCATTTACTAGATTGTTTGTGATCACCAAATCAAATCTTAAGACCTGCTAAGGAAGTCTGTCCACATCATTTACAACACTAGCTGTGCTCTTTTCAGTTAAACTTGAGACATATTGACCGAAAAGATAAAATAATGTTGCTGGTGACAGACTCTACAGTTAGAAGACTTCATTGTCTAGAGCTATCAGTTCAGAGTTCTCCCAAAGCACTGCAGTATTGGGGTGTGGAGGGTTTGTGTGTGTGTGAAGACATCAGGTAAGGATTGGTATTTTAATGAAAATTAGTAGGAGCAAGACCAAGGCAACAGCTATCAACAGTGATTTCTTTATTTTAATAGGACAGGAAATACATTCACTAAAGGATAGTTTCTATTTTCCATGTCTGGCAATGAAAACCAAAGAAAATGAAAGGACAGTGAGTCTGTAACAATGAGGCTGTGCACATGGCAAACCCGAGAGCTGCCTTGCCATGGGAATGCTCACAACTGCCTGGTGTCTGTTAAGACATCATGATGAGAAGTGGAAAATTCCAAAAGAAAAGAAGTTTTGTCTTGCAGGGCATTACACCCTAGAGATGACTTCCTTCTGGAAATTGTGTCTGTTCTTTTTACCATTTCTATAAACTCAGGACCCCAGTGAACCATGTGAGATACAGCCCTGTGATCTCGCTGCTGCTACTCCTACCACCAGCTGATGACATTTGTGTGAGAGGCACAGGGAATGTGTGAGAACCTCTCCTCCTGCACCAGCTGCCTGTGCTGCAGCCCTGATGCTGAGCCCACCAATGGCAGCTCCCCACCCTCCCAGCCCTTGGGGAGAAAGATTACTTTTTCCTATTTGGCAGCATTAACTGAAGACTGAGAACTCTAAAATTCACAGTCCTCTAGCATCATTGCAGCAGAAATTTCTGATATCAGAGGCTTGATCTGAACTGGGTAAGCTACTTGAAAAGAGCAAAGGAAGTGCTACAGCATCCACAACACTATGTATAGAAATTGTATTTCTAACAATTTCAGAAATCTCTTTGTTAGAAGTGTTATAGATTTATATCACCGAGTTCAGGCCGCTCTCTGTGGCTGTGTGCATGTGCACTGGCAACAGAAAGAGGTTTGGCAGGGTGGAAGGTGTTTGCTCACAGCAGCACTTTGCAAACCTACACTGAGAGACTGCACAACCTGATGGACAGTTTTAACTTACAGGAACAGAAAATGCATGGATACTGTATATGGAATTCAAATTTCCAGTTCAAATTTCATCTTATGAAATAATAACTTAAAAAATAATCAGGATGTAAAAATACCTTTATGTTTTAAAGAAATACTATTAGTCCTCTGACTCTTCTTTGTAGATTCACAAAGGATTTTTTGATAGAGGCATAAACCTTATACTATGCATTTTGAAAGTTGCACAAACTGATTCCAGGAGCACACTAAAAAAATTGTTTTCCCCTCAAGTGATTGGAGTTTAAAGGCTTCAAATTCTGCTAAAATGATAAATAGGTTCTATGACAGCTGAAATGTGAGGGTGAGTATCTGAACATGCCAGATGTCAGCAGACACAGCAAAGCCATCTTACCATCTGAATTTCTTGAAACCAAGGAGAAAAGATATGATGACAATTTCACTGCTCTTTACTTGTGCTACTTTACATGTCCTCTGTATCTCAATGTACTAAATACAACATTTCATTTAAAAACTGGCTCCTTTAGTGGGATTTTCAACAACATTCTGGACATGCTCTTTTTCAATGTAAAAAGTCTGTATTAATAATTGTTACTTAGGTCAGAGTTTACTTTTTTCCTGGTCTGTTGCCTTATTCCTGTGGTGAAGCTGAATACAGAAGATATGACTGTGGCTAACATTTTGATACAGAAATTTAATAAGAGAAAGTTTTAAAATTACATAAGGCATTTCTCCCTCTTCTCCCTTCCCCACTCACCTACAAAGGAACATACCTATTTTTGTGATAAAAGGGAAAATATAACACTCCAGGACAGGTTAGTATTTGATGATTTTTAGTTAAAATGACTCAAATAACAATATTTACAAATCAAGGTAATTTTTCCCATGCAATAAACTGCTGGAATTCAAGCAATAGTGATCAAAATCTGTGTACTTGTCTAGTTTAACCAGTTCCTTTTAGATCATTTGAACTCAGCCGGTATATCATCAGTATTACTGCTTCTTACATTAACTTGCCCAGCAGCCACCTGTATCTTAAATGATCCAATATTTAACCACAGGCAATTTGTGCTTGAGCAATAAAGGCAGCAGGTAGATCCTATCTCAGGAACTTATCACTAAAACAGTAAGGCTTAGCTTCGCCTGAGAGCACTAAGGCACACTGTGTTCTAAATATAGAGAGATGAAGGCTCAGCTGTCATTGTAATAGAAAGCATCACCAAACAGCCTCAACCCAAAGACAGAGACCAGATTGTCCTGCCTTCAGCCATTAGTATAAATTCTCAGTGGGAGTTGGCAGAGGATGCTTGCTAAAGCCCCTGTACACTGGAGCTCTATTCTCTGCTCCTGAGAAAAAGATAACCTGAACTGGTGCAATGCTGGTAAATGTCACCCTGCAGAGGTGGGCTGGTGAAATGGAGCATTTACTGGCCATCAGTCAGCTTTAAACCGTGAACTGCTGGGCCCTGTCAAACTGAGGGGGGAGAGGAGAACCAGTATTTTGAAAACAGACTAAGGTTTATTCTGATAAAAAGATTATGGCTTAAATTAAGCTCTTCCTGCTTAAACAAGGTGTGTGCAAAGGAAAATGGGGATTGAAGAGATCCTATGAGGGCATTGGCTGCAACAGAAACTAGAAAAACCAGTTTTTAAACACTTCTAAGACTCTGAAGTAAATATTTAGCTGTAAACAA